TTACTGTTGTCGCTCTCTAAAACGTTCAGCAAGGGATTTTCTTTGCTCTCTTACGTTATATCCCTATTTGTTTCTCGTTCCATTTTCTATTATTGCATTAACTACCTCAACGAAATAATTTCCTTTTTTATTTTTTTTATTATTCTTATTTTTTAATTTTTTGTTATATTTTTATTATATTATATTGTAATTATTATTATTATAATAATTATCATCATCATCAGCATCAGCATCATCATCATCATCATCATCTTCTTCTTCTTCTTCATCATTATCATCATCATCATCATCATCATCATCTTCTTCTTCATCATTATCATTATCATCATCTTCTTCTTCTTCTTCTTCATCATTATCATTATTATCATCATCATCATTCACCGTTGATATTGTTAATAAACGTCTCACTATTTACGTTTTTCGATCAAAAACGTTCCCTTTTTAATAATCTTTAATATAATTTTTACATGTATTATTTTATTGATTATTTTAGCTAATACTTTCACGTATTTTTCCTATTTCCTATGAATCGTACGAATGGTGCTATTATCTATCATTCTTAACTCGCAATCCTAACTCGTACCAAGTATATATCGATCGTTAGGACGATCTGTGTCGTTCTAACGTATGCAGCACATACATCGTACATTATAAAGTACCTGTATATAATAAAAAGCGATATGTTAACTTTCTATTATCCATAAGCATGAATTGATTATTTCATCGATATTCAACGTAATTTTAAAATCATCATAAAATTATAACCCTAATACGATTTTTTTTAGTATTATTTTATATCACACAATTTTCTTCCTACGCACCGCATTTTCAAATAATATTGAACGAAACTTTTAAATAAATTACTTTTTTTTTTTTTATAAATTAGGTTGCAAATTATACACAAAATTTGTAATAACTTGTTCTAATTTTAAAACAAAGAAACTAAATTTACATAAAAAAGTTTTCCCATAAATAATCTATTGATCGGTCGATTGATCTATATCTATAAATATCGGTTAAATATTGAAATTTAAACTTTAATTATAAACACATAAACTATCATTTTTATTAATATTAATAATTTTTGGTTTTATGATAAATTAATTAAGTTTTACCGAATATTATCAGCTAGCAAATATCAAAATTTAAAAATACGTCCAAATAATTATTTATCTTTATTTTTTCTATAGAATATGCATGGAGTTTAAAGAAATTATATGAATAAAAACAATTTCAAAAAATACAGTAAAATAATAAAAGAGAGAAATAAATTTAAATAAATAATGCTAATACTATTTACAAATGTTAATCTGTACTGTGTAAAGTGGCAATAATAATATCACATGCAAAATATAATAATAAAAACAAAAAACTATAAGTAATATAATAAATGATTAAACAAAAAACACACTTACCCCAGAATCTATTCCTTGAGTATTCGGTGTTGTTGATCGTTGTTGTAGATTGTGGAAATTCTACAAATCCCCAAAAAAAATTAATTTTATCATTAACTGTTTTTACTTGAAAAATTATTATTAAATACTTTCATCCAAAACTATTTTAAATGATTCAAAGTAGTTGTAGTACCCTAAACTAAAAACTATTATATAAATGAATAAAAAATCTTCATTTATTTTTACATCTTATTCTAGAATAAAGAAAAGTATTAACAAAATATTTAACTTGTGAATGTATTAGTCGATGAAAATAATTCCAAGTACAAGTAAAGGTAATATAAAATAAAAGAACTTTTAATCAATTGAAATATTGCAAATATTTCTATCTTATCGCATTTCCTTTATTTATCATTCTTTCCTAAAAGATGCATGGTTTTCTTATTTTACGATTTCATTATCTAATATTTATCACTCAATTGAATAACAGAAGAAGTAATATAGTAATATCATATTAAACCAAATAAAAGGATTAATCACATCATTCATTAAAGATTTATTAAAACAAAATTATTAATTTATCTTTAATCATTAAGCAATTATAATATCTTTTATTCATTAAATTATCTTATTAATTGAAATATTAATCAGAGTATATGATATTTTCAACAATACTTTCCTATAGAAATGTTTGTTTTAATAACAAACTTGTATTTTGTAACTTAGTAAAAAATAAAATTATTCAATTTGTATATAAATTACAAAAATAGAAAACTCATTTCAATATATTCTTGACAACATGTGACTTATGTCACAATAGTTGTCAAAAATAAAAAGTAAACATGTGACATATATTTAATACTCACTTGAGATTGGGTTGGTTGAGGTTGTGGAGAAGCAGATGGTGGTGGTGCTGGGGATTGAGAGAGAGCTCTTTGAGGTGACTGACTTGAAGGATTTACTTGATTAGATGGAGGTGGAGGTGGAGGATTTGGAGGTCCACCTTGATTCCATCCTCTTTGTTCCGTATATAGACTGGAAGGATGGCTTGTTTGTGTTGTATATGAATTTAACTAAAAATAAAACAATATTATTATAGTTAATAGTTTTGATATTTAGTAAATTATTATTTATATCTTTAAGAATTAATTACCTGATGATGACTGTAAGGTGTATGGGGTCTAGCAGGAGAGGTATAACGTTGGGCATATTGTTGATATGGCATTGGAGTTGGAGAACTGGGTCCTCCTGGTCCTCCATGCAATCTTGGTGAACCCTGTTTATTAATATTAAATTTCATGTAAAATATTATTCATATAATATCATTCAATTATATAATTAAGTGATATGTATGTTTGAATAGTTTTGTAGTACTGATTATGAATTTTATTTAATATAAAATAAAATTCAAAAATTGATTTTATAAGAAAAAAATATTATATAGGATATTTTTAAGGTAATTATACTTCTTTATTATTTTAAGAGATTCTATTGTTACTATATCATCAGCAAATTGTTACTCTTTTATGTTTTTTATACCTATATCAGCAAAAATGGTTATTCGATAAATCTAAACGACATAATATTGAATGTTCTTACTTGGGAACTAATGGTATTACAACTACCTAGAAATAAATAGAGTACGTAATAAAACGGTATATTTTGAAATTGTGTTTATATTATTTACCGTTTGTGGAGGACGTTGGCTAGGTTGGGGATATACAGGTGGTACAACCGGTGGTCGTTGCATAGGCCATGGCTGTTGATAAGATTCAGGTCCCATCGCAGGATAATTCCCATGGAATCGATGAACAGGTGTTGATGCCTGAAGTAACTGATTAAGAGTAGGCGTAGGACCTGTAGCCTGGGATATACTTTGACCTGATAGAAACCTTGTTTGGCTAGGAAAGTTGGCAGGAGTACCTCCTACATACGCTAATCTTGATTCGACCTTAGATGCAGTGTAATGTTCTTCCATGTCCGGTCGATAATTTCCTGGAAATTCTCCATGTTTCGTCACGTATTCTGGTATCTGTTTACCTTGATAATCTGTTAACGGTTTGGCGGAAAATTCGTTAGATTTATTGGTATACTCTTCAGAGTAGTCACGTATAACATTCGGCGCAAACGGATGTCCAGGATGACCCGCATGTCCAGATGCGTCGAGGGCCTCCTGTTTACCGATAGTCTCTTGAGGAGCTTGGCCGGCCTCTCGTGGAGATTTTATTTCACCGGCAGTGTGTCCACCAATGTCCTCGCGGTATTGACTCATCTCGAAAGCCGTGTCCCCACCGCGATTCACATATTTAAGCAGCTGGGCCGCGCCCCGGGACACTTTATCACCCGGCTCTGGATCCAGCTGCTGCTTTGTACTACCACTTGCACTATTTCCACCAACTTGTGGACGTTTCTGTGCGCATTTCACGGACTCGTTCAGCTTCACATCGTTTTGTTGGCTCTCGGCTTGCGTCGCAGCCATGTTCTCTCTCCTCACGGAGCCATCGTCGTCTCATAAACTGGCCAATCGCGGGACCTCGTGTGTCTCGCGTACTATATACTTGTAATCGAAATCCTGATTAGTTGAGCGTCTTGTATCACAGCTAACTCTTTCCACCGCATTCTCGGTCAAACGAGCGAGGACCAAGCAACGCACTAATGGAAAAATTACTTCTTCGCGTTTTCAAGGTAGAAGGAACCAAAAAAAAACTCATACACGAACGTCAAAAGCAGCGTCGTACGTATTACGCCATCTTGCGACCATGGTATATATCATAGTCTGAACCCAATGCTCAATCATAGGACAGAACATCGCCCAGAGTTAACCTTTACTTTAACTTCTAACTTGCATTCTGATTGGTCGACACACGATTCCTCTTATATAAATTTAAGATAATTTTTTTCTCATTCATTGGCCAACTAAGATTAATCGATGACAATACAAATAAATAACAAAATAATATTAGTAACAATAGCAAAGACAAAAATAAATCTTTCTTCTTTTCTTCATATAAAAATTACATAATATATTATATTTAAATATCTGGATATTCTGAACGCACCAATCAGCGTTTTATACAACTTATACGCTAATTGGTAGATATCTTAATAAAAATCATTCGAACTGTGTTTCGTAATTAATGTCTCGATTAAATCTTTTTGTAAATTTATTTAAATAAAATATTTGGTAACATTAAATAATAATTTTAAGATTAATTTGAAATCAAAATTTGATGGTAGTATAATTATATAAATTAGGTATAATTTCAAATTTCTCTCTGATAAAGTTAGTTTAATATAAATGTGTTCAAAACTTACCATTGTATGTAGATAATACATTCTATGAATTTACAAAAATAATGATATTACTTATCTAAAATCATATTTGTTTCAGTTATATATAGCTCATTTAGTTAAAAATGAAAATATTATTTGAATTTATTGTGTATACATTTATTTTGTTACCTTTTGAAGTATAAATATAATATAATTAAATATATTTTAAATTTGTCCATTTGATGTCTTATTCAATATAAAATATTACAGATTTGTTTTTGATTGTGCAAATAGCAAAAAAAAAAAAAAAAGAAGAAGAATAAATTACAGAAGATAAAAGAAATTAATATTATTAATATATAATAAGATATTTTAATAATTATTTATGATAAATATGATAAAAGTTCCATTATTGCGAAGGATCCAAAATTATGTTTTCTATTCAGCTTCACAAAATATAACATTGAAATTATCAAAATGTACTATTGCAAATTTGAATAGTGTCATAAACAAAACCGACAAAAGTAACACTGCAAATTGGAAAGATGCTTTACATATGACTATGAAAATTTATCCTGACTTTATTATTGAAGAAGAAGAAATTTCTTTGATGAAAGAAATTGACCCATACATGCAACGTTTACGATATGAGTTTGCACATTGGGATGATGTTAGTATCATTTATATGATTTATATATAGTAGTCTTACTCCAACAATTTTATTCTATTTTTTTCAACAAATATAAATTCTTTATAGGCTATTCATGGTTACAGAGAAACAGAGAGAAAACAATGGAATGAACAAAATATCAAAATAATTAATCGAATACGTGAAAAAGCATTTCCACCAGGAATGCCGCAGTTAAGTTTAGTACATGTTTTAGATTTAACGGCTGACGGATGGATAAAACCACACGTTGACAGTATTAGGGTAATGTTTTATTTTTAATTGTTATATAATTATAATTATCTTTATTATTCTCTCTTTTATGAGTTTAAATAATAGCATATCATGTGTCAAGGCAATTACTTATCCAAGTAATAAATATGTCAATTGTTATTTTTGACTTTAGTGTTTTATTGGGAACTAATTTTTTCAACAAGGAAAGACCATTGACAATTGTAATATAATTATTGTATTTGTTCATAAAAATATTCTTGTATGATTTTCATTGTTGTGATGTTTAATATTTTAATGATATGTAATATTTTATAAACAGTTTTGCGGAGATGTTATTGCTGGACTGAGTTTATTGAGCGACAGTGTGATGCGCCTAACAATGGTTGATCATGAACAGGAATGCAGAGAAGATTTTCTTCTTCCTCGTAGATCATTATATGTTATGAGGTAATGATAATCACATTATGTTATGCATAATGTCAATAGTTCAATTAACATTGCATGAAATGAATTTCAGTGGTGTGGCAAGACAAAAATATAATCATGAAATTTTAAAATCTGAAGAATCATATTTTCAAGGACGCAAAATACCTAGAAATAGGCGTATATCTATAATATGCAGAAGTGAAGTAGACAAAAAACCAGAAGATATAAAAATTGATTAAATAGTAAGTATCTTATCAATTTAAACATTTCTTATATTAAAATGATAGTAAATTTTGTAATTAATAGATTGTAATCTATTGTAAAGAAAAAGCTTTATTTGTAAATAATTTCTAATTGCAAGAGTCAATCATTATAAAGAAGAAAAAGATAAGTACATAGGATAATAAGATGTAGTACATAAAATTTGATCTAATTAAGAAATACATTAGCTATAGTTTCTAATGTGTTTATTTTTAATAAAAGTATGTCATATTTATATGAAACATGTTTAAATTTTTTTGAAACAAAAGCGAACTACTTTTTATTATTTTTATTTATTCTCATAGTTTCATTTGTTACATAAAACAGTTTTTGTTAACTCAAGTAAAACTATTTAAAAATATCATCTATAGTTATAATAATAATATTGTTAAAATTTATTCTAAGTTTTCTGATATGGATTTAATGGTGTACATACCTGAGGAAGTGGACGGAGATAAAATTACTCAGGTCAACGATTAAATTATTATTAATTATATTATTAAATAATTATTAATTATGAAAAGATATTATATTGTTTATTTAAATAAATATTTTAAATTTCTAACAAATATTATTTCTTCTGTAGTTAACTCCAAGCACGGTTCATAATTGTGAAACATCAAAAATTGATATAAAAGAGGATATAATAGCAGGATCTTCATATATAAGAAAATTTTGGTATTGTTTCTTTTTTATATGCACAATATCATTTGAACATCCATTTACAAAATGGCGATTCAAAAATAAGAGAATATTAAATTATGAAATTAGTAGACACTTCAGATCTTATCGATATACGATACATCCTTTTAGTATTTTTAGGTTATTTATTTATATTATATTATAATTTTAATTATATAGAATAAATTAATTATACTCATAATTATAGCTCGCACGTATACATATTCTTTCCATAGAAAATATTGGGAAACAATAATGGTTATTATCGGCATTATAACTCTAATTATTAATCCTATATTTATTTCATTTTATATGAACAAGAAAGAACAATGGTACATATTTAGTAACGTCTTAGATGGTATTATTTTATGTGATATAATTATGTGCTTTTTTACTGGATATTACGATCATTGGACAAACATCGTTATTTTAGATCGCCGTTTAATCGCAGTGTATGTAAAGCAATTCAATTTCTTCATATTTATTTTACTTTCGATATTCACTATATTTACTATATTTAATAAAATATTTTTCAATTAGAAAATATATGAAAAGTACTTTTATAGTGGATGTTTTATCTGCTTTACCATATCAATTAATTGATTTTATAGTCTACAAATCAATTTGGTATTGCGCTATGTTCAAATTAATCAAGATTATTAGAATACGAGCAATTATTATTTATTCTCGAAGACTTTGTTGTGTGAGTATTTTGTGAAACTATTTCAAATGATTTTTGCAATTAGATTTTGTAACATTTTTAGATATATCATATGGATCGTCAATGGTATCAACTATTTGAAATGATTATGATTATCATAATATCTATACACTGGGCAGCATGTCTTGAATATTTTATACCATTGACAGTGTCCAATATTTATGGAAGAAACAGAGGGTAAATATTTTCTAAAGTCAACTATTATTATCTGAATTATGTTCCATTTTCAATAATTCTTATCAAAGAGAAGTTATTTAAATAACAATATAAATAAAATTGATGCACAAATTTCTATAGGTCATGGATTGATTCCCCTGCATTAAAGGAAAGAACAACAAATTATAGAAAATATTTAATTTGCTTGAATAGAGCTATTATTGCTCTAGTTTGTTCAGCTCATTATTTAGACACGAAAACGCCAGACGATATTTTATTAAATATTGTATTATCAATCATTGGTATTCTTGGTTTTATTTATGTTTTAGGTAAACAATGTAATTACAAATGGAACGTAAAACTTTTGGATTTAATATATATTTCATTTATTGACATATTCTCTATATTACGTATATACTTTTAGCACAACTTATGCACTTTATAATAACATTGCATTCGGCCACCAAAAAACACTATAAACATATTCAACAATTACAAGAATATATGAGGTATAAGGAATTACCTTATGCCTTACAATGCCGTCTATTAGAATATTTTAATTATTATAACAAAAAAGATTTAGATAGACATCAACGTATAATCAATCAAGTTTCCTCTTATTTGCAAGAGGTTTGAATAAATAATGATATTTGTAATATATCCAAGTAGAATTTATGAAAACGATCGAACCCTTTTATTCTTTCAGGAACTTATTTGGCATACTTATAAGAAATTTATTAACAATGTGCCATTATGTCAACATATTCCAAAATCAGTTGTCTCTCAATTAACAAATATGTTACACTCTGTAATTTATTTAGAAAATGACATAATAGTCAAAGCTGGCGAAGAAGAAGATGGACTCTATTTTATCTCATCTGGGACAGTTGCGGTTTATACCAACTTATGGAAAGAGGTTTTTCTGATGAAGCTAAATCACATTTTTTAATGACTAGTTACTTTTTCAATTGATATTAATTTATAAGAATAATTTATATACTTTATATAAATATTTAGGTTTGTCATTTAGGAGATGGAGCATATTTTGGAGACTTAGCTTTATTTGTGAAAAGTATGCAACATACTGCTAATATTATTGCCATAGAAACTTGTGAGATTTATATATTATATAGAGTGAATTTTCAAACCATTATGGAATCCCATCCAGATTTATTTAATATTTTATATAACACAGTGTTAAAGTTTGTGAAAAAACTTGAATCCTAAACATAGTTTCGATTAACACGTTGAGCGCCACGTTAATTCTTAAGTTGAACGTCAACTATCCGTTTAGGCCGCTGCTAACGGGGATTTCCTTTAGAATTCGCGTAGCATTCAACTTATATTAAACGTTCACATTTTTTTTTTTTATAACTAATTTAAAAAGTAGTTAACTAATGGATCATTAATTTTGCATTTTGTTTAATATTTCTCATTACTATTTTTAATATTTGGATTATTATTTAATTTAATTTACGGTTAAATAAAATTCTAATATTTAGTTTTTATATTATTATTACTTTCGAATATAGGGAAAAACTAATTTCCATATTAATGGAAATTTTCTATAATTATTTAAATAATTACTGTACTTAGTAGTGAAAAAAACCTTTATACTTTCGAGGATTTTTATAAGATTGTTGATAAACCGTCATAAGTCTCCAATGTTCCGGATAATCAGTATCTCTAGTGCCATTTACGACGCTAAAAGGTGGAGATAAAGTTTCTATACTAAAGGATCTTTTAGCAAATGGTGTTTTTGGTCGTGGTACATCTACCTTTTGTAGTAATCGTTTATTAATCGATTCCATACCCAAAGCTATTCCTACAGATGATCTGATTAATCTGGGATCATTTTCTTTTTTATTTTCACAAATTTCACCATTCCTAATAGAATATTGCGATTTAGAACGTTCCCGTAAAGTTGATTTTTGTTCGTTCATAAAATTCGTGCATTTGCAACGATGCTTCCGATTGTTTTGGTTTTCTTGTAAATTATTATCTAATAGTTTATCTTCATCTTTTTTTAAGAGATCTGTTTGATAAACTTCACGATACTTACTGTCGTTATGTGAACGCAAATGATCCCGTTTCGATTTTGGAACACCTTGTACGAGTTCAAAAATTGCCGGTGCAGCTCCACCTTCTGATCCATCGATGTGAGTTGGTCTCGGTGGCTCATAAATTGGATCCACTGGAGTTTGCCAACAAATAGCTAAATCCATTTTTGTTTCTGGTTTTTTGTAGCCTAATACAGAATCGCAATAATATTTGGATTCTATTTTGTTGCAACCGTTATTCGTACATCTGCTATTTTTACATCGTTCATTTAACAATGGCAAATGAAAAGATTCCTTTAGCTTGAAATTCTTCATTACGTCGTCGTTTACTTTGTCAGGAAGCGGCTGATGCATTAAATTCTCTGCATGTAGCTTTTTTGCCATAGCAAATCTATTATAGCTATGTGGTAGTTCTTGGTAACTTTCATTTAATTCTATTTTACGGTTTCGTCGATTTTTAGAATAATCATTCATTATTTTTTTAATAGATGAAATTTTCAAATTACCTGACACGTATTTGGGCAAACAACATTCGTGGATTCTCTTATTTTTCGGAACGTCTATCACGCCTGGACACTGAGCACAACATTTTTTATAAGCTATCATCAATTTTTTACAAATAAAAAAAATCAATCGTACGATGAAACATAATAGATTAAATATTTATCCAAATATGACATGTTCGTTTTGTATTTAATTGTAAATTGTTGAAAACACTTAAATAGAATTTCTCGAATGTTTACAGGAATGCAGTCCTGAAAGTTTCAACATTTATATATATATATATGTATATGAATGTAACTGTTTGCTTGACAACGGACCGTTCAATAATTTTATCTCAATTCTTTCCATAGTAAATAAATTTCTTTTTTATATAAAAAAAAAGCATTAGAATAAAATCATTGCAACAGGTTGACGAAAAATAGAACAATATTTTCATTTCGAATTTTTTTTTCCGTGAAAAAGAAATTATAAAGTTAGACTTCATTTATTTATTTATTTAATTATTTATTTAAATTCACTATGTAAGAAGTCAAAAATGATATCATTGCAGCAGGTTAAGGAAAAGAAGTAGAAATGAGTCATGGAAAAAGATTCTTTTTGTTTTTTTTTAGAGACGCGTACTTTCACTTATATTTTTATTATCTCTCTTCTTGGATTTAAAAAAAATGGAATAAAGATCATTGGGTTTTCTAAGTTAGATTGTATCATTAAATGAATCAGCTATTTACTGTTAAGTGACCTTTTGTATATGTGAATCAATAGAGACTTTAAAACGTTCAGTAACTGTATGACCGTTCTTGCGTGACACTATTAATAATATCGATCTACAAAATATTATTTATCAAATTTTCCGACTTGTATAAGAAAATGAAATCTAAAGGATTAATTATTTTTCTGAATAGTAGAAAATATCATCTCGCGTAAGATTCTTCGAATCGTCTGCACGCGATTTCAAATAGAGACTAGAGCATTCATCTAATTATACAAAGAATGATTCATGACGTACATTTGAACGTATGGACTATGTTGTTCGCGTGTATTTAGTTATAATACAATTCAAGATTTACCAACGTTTATTGTGTTTCATTCGTTCGTTGTATTTGTACCGTTCGTTGGATTATTTTATAAAACGGAATAAAATAATATTGGATAACTGTTGTGTGTGATAAGTGTCATGTGTTTTTGAATGAATAAATCAGATCGATAACTCTAAATAAAGTAGTTGTTCTATTGTGTGTGGTGCTTCGTTATTAAAAACAAATAAAACAAACAATTAATTCGTTTTCCTATGTACTCGTAATGAATAATCTAACGAAAGATAATCACGATGAAATCATATATATGGATGAAATTCCCGATGAGCAGAAGCAATTATTATCTGCCAAATTGGAAAATGCACTGCCAAGTGTGGAATCACGCTTGGGTGGACTTCTCGAAACAGACAACACTTACAATCCACGGCCGACTTCGGGTCCGGAAATAGACGACCTAGAACCTGGAATTCTTTCACGTCCGGGTGACAAAGGTATTGACGATGGACTGTTTCCAGAATTACCATCAAATAATCCTAATGGACAACACCCTTCTTTTCCTCTGCCACCACCGATTCAACCATCGATACCAGATGTAAACATTTATCAACACAAAAAGACTCTTGCACAAGGAATGATGGATCTAGCATTGTTATCAGCTAATGCCAATCAATTGCGTTACGTTCTACAAACAGATGGTCGGCATCCTTATTATTATCCTTCACTAGCTATGATTAGTTCCAGTTTGCTTATTCAAATTATAGTTGGTATTGGATTAATTTGGAATAGCAGATACGACGTTAAGGTTGACGCGCAAATGTGTAAAGCTGATACAGCTAATAATTGGACCGTTATCGGTATATTTCTCGTTACAATTCTTAATGTTTTTATTTCGTCGTTTGGTGTAGTCGACTTAATATCAACTTCTCCCACATCCTAACATTTGTATAAATTTATTTATAGCGTTTTAACGTCCGTTTTCTTGGAAATCAAAAATACTCTATTATTATGTGATAATATAACATATATTCATTGTATAATCTTATTTAATCGGGGATTTGGTTTTTTAGTATTTTCTTTAACAATATTTTTGTTCTTAGAAGTGAAATCTAGTGTTGATATATGATATTCTTAGGAAAATTCATTTAAAAAATATTTAATTATACATATGTTTTTTTTTTATATAAAAATATTACAAAACAGCATTAAACTCTAACGCACGATGGCACAATTGTTAATATATTTTTTAATTGTAACGCGATTTCTTCTTTATTTTTTCCAAGCGTTTCTTTTATTTGACTCAGTTGAACGGTTATATCCGTCAACCATTTATTAACTTCGCATTTGATGTCCGGTGTTCTCAATAAACGTGATGTACATTGAAAATCATTGTAGTATTTTGCATCATCATTTGCTTGTTTAGAGCAAATAGAATTTAATTTTTTTTTTATAATGTGTTCTAGCAAAGAAACGAAATTAATTATTTCGTTCCAATTTATACTACTTTTATTAATATCTACAGATTTTTCATGTTCCTTGATTACAGTTATCTAAAACCAATGAGATTATATTACTAGCAATTTAATCTATGTTTATGTTTAGAAAATAATTCAATATAAAAAGAATATACCATCCAATCATAGAATATATACTCTTTTTCCATCCATTTTAAATGTACATCCAACATCGCTCCTATGTTATACAACTCGGACTTTAGTTGTTGCTTAGATTGAGTAAAATTTGAATCTGTATCTTGTAATACGAATAAACTTTTGACAAATGCAATATCCATAACGTTCATATGCGCAAGACAATCATAATTCAAGCTTGCACTGTGAGCTTTAGTTGACAATTTAGTTTTGATATCAATTAATTCGGATATATATTTAATATTAAAATTAACTTTACTATTGTGATGGATAATATTTTTTATTTGAGTATTCAAAGAATACGATGTTTCTATCATAGATATTTCTTTCTAAAATAATATTCTATTTTAATGATGATGTATTTATTATTCTTAACATTATTTTTCTTAAAGTTTCCGTATTTACCAAAGATAAGTCAGGGGATGAACATTCCTTTCCTAAAATACTGGATATCAAGTTGATTCGTATGACAATGTTTAAAACATTTTGCGTCGCTAAAAGCCATGCAAATGCTAATAGAAGTACTCTATTGTTACAACAACTTTCAGATAAATTATAAAACTCAATCGCTGGATATTGTAAATAAGCGAAATATAATTTTGTAGCAGATAATTTATCTACAAAATATATCCGTTATAACAAAATAAAATGGTCCAATAAATAGCAACAAATAATATGTATAACATCCGAAAAATTAACAAACTTACCGTATTCCTCAAAGTTAATATTATTTTGATTTTCTTTCGCCGCGTACAAACTTAATATGTGCAATATTGTCCATAATGTATCCTAGATAATAAAATATACATTAAGATAAGATAATACTCAGAGCAAATACGATGAAAATAAATTCGTTGTTACATTAGAGACTTACAGATTGTTCCTTTGGATCATTAAATTTAGATAACCTAAAACATTCTGGTTGAATTGCAACTTTGATTGATAAATTCAAATGTTTGCATAATAATTCAATAATATTTTTAATATCTGACATGATTTAAAGTTATAGTGATCATTCATTGTCATCATCACACACACACGTAATCATTAGACACGTAATCATCACACTTTGATAAATTATTTGATCATATGTAATCAAAATAAAGGAAGAAAAGAATGAAATAATTTTGTCAAGTAATTGACCGAATAAATGAATGAATTAATAATAACTTAAATAATTATTTTTCTATATGTTATTATAGAAAAAAAAAATTAAACAATGTTCAAAAGTTAAAATAAATACAATGTAAATAAAATGAAGTGTGTTTAATTAAATTGTGTCTAGAAAATAAACAAAATATTTAAAATTTTAAATAAAATTAATTTTAGAACGATTATAAAAACCACTTTCGTGATAACAATTAATAATTGTGGTATTTTTTTTTTTTTCTAATCCTGATGATAAAATTCCCGATTACAATTAACAGAGATGACACGCATTCGACTGATGGATGAGCCAAAGGATTTAACACAGTCCCACTTTTATTCCCAACGCACATCTGTACCTTTTAAATGTACAATTATCAACATGCTATCATAAGGTCTTTATTTATTGGACTATAAATGTTTATTCTTGATCACTTGTGTAGAATCCATCAGCGTAGACGAATAGCATTAAATATTAATCCTAAAACAAATGTTATCATTCAAAAAAAAAACATAGTTTGGAATTAATCATAAAGTTCGTGCGATCCTTATATTAAACTTCTTTATAATTTTTAACATCACGCAAGTAAATCCGGTTTGCAATATCTTTGTAACTTTGTGGTTTTCCCTTGACAAATGACCACAACTGATTAACATATACTGTTTTCCTCCTACCAGTACTTACTTTTAATACAATGAACTATTAATTATATTCTCTCATTCTCTGATTATACCATTATGTGCGAGCAAGTTTTTCCTCGAGTGACTATTTAATTAGATTTTAATTGAACTGATTCATATAAAACTTTTCATTTTCATTTTGTTATACGAACCAAACAGAGTTTTAAGAAAAATAGACAAAAATATATTATACAGGGTGAGTCACGGAATTCGTAAAACATACATTGTATGAAACAAAATGTTTTCTACATTTTTTTGAACATTTGTGATAATAAACATTTATTTGTGTACTCGGCAATTTATTCAGCAAGTACTCAACAATTTTAGATATTACATAGATGATAGTTTTTTATGCGGAGTTTGATGCTTTATCAGAATCCTGAAAAAAATTAGGCATTTCATTTAAAAAAAAAAAAAAAAATAACGTTGACTTTGATATTTAATTAAAAAAAAAAATGACCTTACAAAAAAGTTTTATTTACCATTACATTTACCCCATAATTTAGTTTCTTTTTATCTATGTAAGAAACATTTTTTTATACAATGTATATTTAACGAGTTATTTTAAAATGTTACGTTCCGTGATTGACCTTGTATATATGCTATATATTTATGATGCATACATGTATGCGTGTGTATATGAATATATATATATACATACATGTATATAAGTAAATATATAAAGTGAAGGATAAAAGAAGGAAAAAGAAAGAAACCAATTTTGAAAGAGTAGGAGAAGAATCACCTGAAAGAAGTTACAAGGAAACAAATTAAGGAAGTGATTTGTTCTATCGATAAAAACATTCAATTGAATCAAGAAAATGACAAAACAAGATACTTTAAGCCGTATTTTCTTGAATACCTGCCTTATATTATTGGTAAGTTTTTAATTTTTATATAAGATTTATGTGAATAATTTTGATCTATTGAAATATATATGTTACTATCAATGTGTAATGCTGTCATTGTATAGAATGACCAGGCGACCTTTAAATTTCCATAGTTCGTTTCACTTACAATAGCTTGAGATCACTACCCCCTCTGTGCTTTAATACACCTGACTGAAGCACACTATAAGATGACCAAGCAAAATATGAAACATTGTTTATTAAACTCATTGTCCGTTTTACGTGACATTATTCTACAGAATGTCTTTGAAATGATTTTAGGATAACAATAGATATTATATTAAGGTTGAAGATGATATTTATTTAAAAGATATTTGATACACGTAGTCCTTGCATTTTACTGTACGCGGGAAATTCAAAAAGTACAAGTTATGTTTTCTCCAATATTTGTTAAAATTACGACATCTTTTTTTTTCTTTTTACATTAACTTTTAATTCATTATTTTATAAGATGTGTTAACGTATAATATGACGAGTATGTAATACGTAGAAATGTATGTAATTTTATTTATTTATACAAATTACATTTTTCAGAACTCGTGAACAGTTTAAATTATTTTGTTATCTTATGATAATATTTATATTGCAGTTTTTTAAAAATGTTCGTACTTATCCGCAAGTAAAAGTTGATAAATCGATGCAAAATGGAAATCAGACAATTGCTAGATTTAATAGAGAAAATCAATTATCAATCTCTGAAAGTAACTTCACACATGGACCTAATACAAATTCAAGGGCTCGATTATTTCAAAATGATAATCCAGAATTACTTAATCAAGCTAATAGACATGGTAAATGAACCTGAACTTATTATTTAAATAATTTGTTAATACTTATTTTGATTTGTTTTTCATACTTATACATTTGTTATTTTAGATAGATTGATGAACTTAAATCAATAAATAAATATAAATTATAAATATAATTTTCTATGTGTACGATTTGGACAATAATATAAATTAGGAATTAGTAAAATATTTGTAATTTTTCTATTAAACATTTTTCTTCAACAGATCGTATAGACGGTAAATTTGTTTTTCCAACGGACAATAGACCATATACCGATTCATTATCATCAATATCGTCACGAATATTGGCACCAGTTTGTCATGGATCAACTTATTGCGAAAGAGTATATGATTATCCCGAAGAAACAATAAATAATGCTATTCAACAAAATAGTAGTATACAATTTTTTGCGACAACAGATGTGGTGAGAAATAACTTTTTCTTTTTATATATATTATATCAGATGTTTTACTACAAGGTAGTACTTTACTACAATATAACGTTTACCATAATATTTTAGCTACCCGATATTACAAAGAGAATTGGTGTAGGTAATACACCTCTTTGTGCATCTAATGTAAGTTTTTATAATCAGAAAAATTCTTATGCATTATCTCTCATTTTGTTTTTAATTCATTTTTTAAGTCTTATTTTTAATATTACCATTCAATAGGAAAAAATAATTTATCCAAGATCAGCAGAAAGTAAGACCAAGGAATGGTTTGTAATTGTAAATCAAGATAATTTTAAACAAGGAGTACGAATCGAAACATGCGGGTTAGTAAAACTTTATTTGACATTATAGAAATAATTATGAAACAATCAAGTAAAATTAAATTAATTATTATTATTAGTAGTAGTAACGAGAATAGCATGTGCAATATAAAAGGAATGTCACTTGCCGAAGGTTACAAATCAACATGCAAACAAAAATTCATTTATCGTCAAATGGCTGCCATTTCGAAAGATGGTAAAATTTTTCCAGAAATGTTTCGTTTCCCATCGAGTTGTTGTTGTCACGTTAAATTTACTGTAGACCCAGTTGGTAGATTGGGAATTCGTAGTAAAGCATTGACAAGTAAATCATTACTTTGATTTATTAAATTTATATTGCGAAATATTTTAGTTTCGATAAATAATGCTACATATATTTTTAAATAATTATTATCATTTTTACTAAGTAAATCAAACAAATATTGAAACATAGGCCCTAATATATTAACTCAATGTCGCCCGCAACAAAATATTTGGATATCAGACAAATTTTCACAATCTATTGAATTATGATCTTATTATAATAAATAAAAATAAGAACAAAAGTGACATTTGTAATTCATGCCGAATATAAAATTAAATAATAATAATAATTATTATTATTATTAATTGAATAATTAATTAATTAACTCAAGTTAGTTATGTATTTTCTTCTTAATTGAGAACATAAAATATACAACAAATTACATCGTGTGAAAGTAATTTAGCTTACATATTTTAGTAATAAAACATATTGGTATATATGTATATTTTATATACATAAACATATATATATGTATAACTTTTCAATTCAAATATATTGTATATTTTTAAGCAAAACCTAAACCCATATTCCAAATCTATCCATATTCTTTCTTTTCGATATAAAAGATTTACATTTAGGTGAACAAAAAATATTTCACTAGAGTAGCTGTTAATTTTTATTATCATTTCTAATAACAATAACAAGGACTGACTTTTCAATATGTTTTTTCTATACGTGTCCTCTTTTTGCTAAATTTAATTCTAAAAATATTCGGAAATAGAATAAATGAATTGTTGTGTGTGTATATATATATATATATATATTATGCAAAGTAAATTAAGTGTACGAATTTAGAGAAAATATTTTTGCAAAAAAAAAAAAAGAAAAAAGAAAATCTATATTAAATATTATCATTCTAATCAATGTTCAAACATTAATCACAAAACCAATTTTTATGAAAGATCTTATACTTGCTATATTGAAAAAAGAATGAGACTAATTATTTTATTTAATTTTGTTTTTCTGTTTTCATGGATTAAAAACATGTGAAAAGCAAAATTTATACAAAATAATCTACTACATTATACGACTTTGTACATAATGATGATCTAAATGTCAAGATCAATAAATATATAATTAATTAATACGATTGCAAAAGGGAAAAACGTTATATTTTTTTTTTATATCAAATAAACTAAAGTATTATAATAAGATATACTGTCATATCATGATGCGCTTTGGAATGTTATTAACCCAAATGAAAACTGTAACCATTGTAAAATTCAGTACGAAATTGAAAGCCCGCATCTGGAGAAAAGAACGTTGGGAACATTCCACGAGTATCCATGTCTGAAAAAACAATGTTTATTATTAAATACATTAACGATTAATTGTAAATCATGATTTGTTAAATCATTGTTTACAAATTTATTCAATGAATAATGAATAATAATTTGACAAACCTTGCATACTGCTGTCATTGTCATCAATGTCATGACCATTATCATAACGCAAACGTTTCTTCGGATCCGATAGAATACCATATGCTTCTCCAACTTCTTTAAATTTCTTTTCTTGTTCCTTCTTTTCCCCTTCAGTTGCATTAGCATGTCGATCTGATAATTATTCAAATAAATATTAACATTATAACACATTTTATTTACGGTATATTATATAATTAATTAGATTTATTATCGGTTTTGATACCTGGATGATGAACCATAGCCCGTTTCCTATATGCTTTTTTAATATCATCGGTTGATGCGTTTTTATCGATACCTAATATTTTATAATAGTCTTTCCTTTTCGATTTTTTCAAAGCCATTTTTGCTTCCATAAGGAATCTCTTATTTTCTGTAAAATAAATATTAAATATACATAGTATTAATAAGTTTCTATTTTAATGAATAATACATAATTGAATAATTATATGTATAATATTCGTACCACGACTGTTATCTATTTTACACGCTTTCTCAAAATCACGAACAGCATCTTCGTATTCATTTAATTCCAAATAAGATGATCCTCTCCTAAGCAAAGCTTTAAGATAATTTTCATCGAGTTTTAAAGCTTCTGTGCATTCTGTTATCGATTCCTTCACTCTTCCTAACTGTAGTAACAAAGAACAGTTTTTTTTTTTTTACTTAAGTATACAACAAACAAAACATTTATTCTTACATGTAATTTAATATACAATATTTGTTTCAACTTACTTTAAAAGCTGCTGTTGCTTTATTAAAATGAAGTTTAGCATTAGTCATTATATTTTGAGGATCTATAGTTAAAGCCTCTGTAAATAACTTGTAAGCTTCTTGATAGCGTTGCATTGTAAATGCTGCATTCCCATCTTCTTTCTTTTTTTTTAAAGTTTTCGCTCTCTAAAAGTAAGACAACGATTAATACTACATATATTCATTTTATAAATGAATTTACCATAATAAATTATAAGTATTTTTATTACCTTATAAATTTCCAATGCCTTATCGTGATCAGGTGCTAATCTTAATACTTGTTGAAAATGTCCGAAAGCTCGCTCAATGTTATCTTGGAAATACAAACACATACCACGAATATAAATAGCATCCGCATTTTGTCTATCAATATGCAAAACATCACTGAAAATATAATAAGAATATTAAAGTTATAAATAAATAAAATATAATTCAAAGTGAATAAAATCTTTGTTAAATAAATGTTAATCTACTTGGCAAGTTTTCGTGCTTCTTCGTATCTTCCTAAGAATGCAAGACATTCGGCTTTGATTAATTTAAATCTTGTGCACGATGTACTAACATCGCAACATCGATCCATACAATATACAACCTATTAACAAAAAAAGACAAAACATCGGTTTGCAAAGTATACTTCAACTACAGAATTTAAATGATTAACGATATGAATATATAGTATTCGTCGGATGTGGCAAACACATATTAATATATATTTTGTTTCCATTGCTTTTGTGTCCTCTATTCATTCCCCAAGTAGACCAGACAGAAGTTAAGTTATGAAACATGCTGTATAATAGTACTAGATCTTTCAAAATCTTTGCTAACAATATTGTTAGCAGTGGAAATGAGCATTACATTTACACAAACCTCTAACCTTACGGAAATCTTTCACTGCGTAAGCAGTATCCGCATCCTTAAGATACTTCTGTATATACTCCAAGTCCTTTTTTTCAGTAGCTACAGATGTATTATCAGGATCTAATTCCAAAAGTTTAGTTATATTAGTTTCAGCTTCTATGATATCACCCAAAATCAATGAACATTTGATAATCCTGCTGTATGCCTAGGAATATAAAAATCATAATTACATAAAAAAAGAAATATTAAACGAATAAATCATAATATTTCATTGAACATAAATGTATGTACTTTGAGAAACAATGGGTCCAATTCAATGCACTTTTTAGCATCAACTAAAGCGTTACGATATAGGCCAAGCATCATATAACAGGCTGCTCTGTTACCATAATAACGTGGTTCATCTGAACACATCTCTAGAATCATCATTATTATCATTTTTATTATTATTACTATTATTATTATTATTATTTCTATTGATTATAGAACAAGAGATTAGCTTCATTATATAAACTGGTATAAATATACTAACCAATAACTTCATTATATCCGGTTAATGCTTTTTTATATTGTTTCAAAGAATAATATTGATTTGCTATTTCTTTCTTTGCCTCTGCCAATCTAAAGACAAATTGTTACACAATTTTAATATAATTACATAATTAAAAAAAAAAAAAAGAATAAAAAAAAAAATTAAAGAGTGGAAAATTTTCTTTTCATCAATATGTAAAATAATTCCAAATATAAATAAAATAATATAAAATGGACTTTATACTCACTCTTCAACAACCGATTTGTCTACATTCATGGCGTTGGAGACAGGTTCCAATTCTTCGTTCATTTGTACTTCACTCGCCATAATTAATGTTATTAAGTACAATTAAAAATGAAATAATGATAAATAAATCCATTCAATGTAACATTGTACTAGTAATAAATGTTATTACACGAATAATTTAAAGAAAAAAAAAGTATATATATTTTTATGATAATGTACAAACGTTCAATATTCAATATTCAATGTTACAACAAGAAAGGGCTAGAGAACTGTGTGTGTTGTGTGTGTTTCGACAATTATATTGAACTATGTAACATGCGGTTACAATAAAATATCAGCATTCGTAATTTAAATAACAATTGGAATACTGAATGCTTCTTAACTTTATAAATATTTCATCCTATATCGTTTGAAATATTATTATAGAACACATATTTATAGATAAACTATATTGGCCAACTAAAACCCTGTCGTATTTTTTATCAGCGACTACATAAAGAAGTGGCTTTAAGGTGACTTAAGCAACTGTACTACACAACCACGCGTGATTTGCAACTAACTTTAAAACACAGGTTAGGCATAATTGAAACAAATAATTCCTAGAAAAATATTATTATTGGTTAAGAGTAAAATAGTGTTTTTTTTTTTATACAAAACAACAAATGATTTGTATAGTTCTTTTTTTAAAACAATATATATATATAATATGTTTGTTTTTTTATTTTTTTTCGTAATGACAATTAACAAAGAAGTTATTTATAGCAAAATGAACAACAATCAAATTATCGGAATACATCCGAAGTGAATTTTGCAGCAAAACTAACTAAAATATTTGTCTTCTCTATAACACGACAAAATGTAACAATCAAATATAATAATTTAATATTTGAATGATGTTAAAAAGATGTTTTAACGATTTAGATTGTTTTTCAAGAGGATATTAAAAATATAGGATTATTATATGTAATAATAATGAAATGATTATACATTAAACGTCTTTGAATATGTAAACCAATCAAATGTAGATTTAAGTTTGTCCAATTTTAAAATTGGATCGATTAATTGTACTTATGTTAGATGTATTTGGGTAGTTGAATAACATACAAGATAATCATCATAGAGGATCGTTTGTCATGTTTCCTGGCGGGTTTGAACGTACTGGAACATCAAAGAAGTGACCAAAAAAAAGTAACATGAAAGCAACTTTTGGTTAAGTTTGTGTATTGCAAAATTTATAATAAATGTTGTGTTGTAACGTGCGTAGTTTAAAAATAAAGTATAAATGATGTATTGTCCAAGTATTAGTACCTATAACTGCTTTATGTTACGTATAGGTTAAGATGTAAAGTTATTTTGATAGTATGATTTAATTTGATTTAAAAATTGTAATTGTTGTTAGATTACTTTGTAATTATTGCATTGTGTCATTTGTTTCAGATTTGAGAGATTAAGAAATTGAAACAGCAAGCTTAAATTTTAATGCAAAATGGCAGGTAGTAGCGAACTTTGGATACAATGTTTTAAGTGTTGTTTGCAACAACAAGAACCACGTTCACGAAGTGGGAAACACAAGACTCATCAGAGGCTCAGGATAGATCGAAGCATGATTGGAGAGCCTACAAATTTTCGACATACAGGTCACATCAGTAGCGATGACTTCAATATGACTGGAGATTGCTTATCCACTATTCAAGAAAGAATGCAACATAAAGGTGGTTATGACACTTCCTTTAGCGTTAAGGTAATCATTAACTTATTTTTAATAAACATTATTCTCTCTTAATTATTCTCTTTGTGATAGAACATGTACATACATATATATACTCATTAATTTTGTTTTAGGCATATTGATATACGCGTTAAAAAAAAGTATTTGAACTGCCAGAGTATTAATGGAAGGAATGAATCGACTGATGTTTTTTTTTTATTAACGATGTATTCACTTCCTGACTTAATAGTAACACAATGCACTATGCTCAATTATGTATTTTATAAATTTTTTGTTTGTTGTTGTTTATACAATTAATGTCAATAGAGAGAGAGAGAGAGAGAGAGAGTACTCTTTCATCTTTATTAAGTTTTTTTACAAAGACAAGATCTCAGAAAAAATTCACGGTTATTCTTATGTGATTGCCAAAAATTTATTAAAATAATGACATCTGATTTATTTGCATCTGTGAAAATTTATATATTTTGATTTATTACATGGACTAGTAAGTTTACAAATGTATTTATATATTAATGAATTCTTCTATGTTGATTTATACTTTGAATATTTTTATCTTTAAGTGTAACCTTATAAATATAATAAATGATTGTATATATATATAAAAGAATAACATAAACAAAAAAAAACAAGTAATAAAATTGTAATACAGTCTTGTAATTATATGTATTTGAAATGCATGAAAATTATATATATATAAAGTAAGTATAATGATAGAAAAAAAAAAATGTAGAAAAGAATTTAAAGTTCAATTGCATTTAACGTTTTAGTTCCATTTAAATGACGATGAAATTAATTAAATATCCCTATGTGATTGAAACAACAAAATTCCTAAAATCTTCTATAAAGAATAATTCAAAAGTTTTTAAATATACTGTCGATAAATTAATATTACAATATTTATTAATCAATATTTATATTTGTCTATGTCAAATACATTATATTGAATTTCTATCTTAATTATATCAAATAGAAATCTTTTAAAAAATTTGAAAGACATTAAAATTAAATTAACGAATTTATTATCACAGTTGTTATGAATTTATTTTCAATAGTAAACAAAAGTATATTATAATTAATACTAATTTTTAAAGTTTCTATTTAAGGATATTTTTAATATGAGTAATATTATAATTATTGTTATTGTCTATGAAAAATGAGGAACAGTTAGGACTTCGAACCATAAGTGACTGCCACGTCATTGACGACTATCACTATACACATAACTACAGTTAGTTACTTCGAAATTCCTCCATCAGTGTTCTCAGTGGAGAAGACAGTCTATGTAAACACACTGTTGATCTCGTTTTTTAAATACTTTCCATTTCTTCTCTCCTATATATTATTGTAATTAATTAAAAATTAATTATGGCACGTGTACTCGTAGGTGTTAAAAGGGTAATCGATTACGCCGTCAAGGTAAATTTGACCTTTTATGGTATTAAAACATAGAATTACTTTAAGTAACAATTAAAAAAGAACAAAAAAAACAGATGAATTTATCTTATCTTCGTGTTTTAACAAATTCGATCTTATCCAAGGTCAACCATTAATTTATAAAGCAATGAAACACTTGTTGCAACATAATGAAATTTTATATTCTTTTTGATAAATTAATCATTTATTATTATTATTTATATATTGATAGCTATTCTTGCTCAGATACAGTTAATAATTTAAAAACTGCTTTTTTTTTTGTAATCAATATTTTAATTCATTATTTTAGATTCGTGTCAAGTCAGATAAAACAGGAGTCGTTACAGATGGAGTCAAACATTCAATGAATCCTTTCGACGAAATAGCTGTTGAGGAAGCTATTAGAATGAAAGAAAAAAAATTAGTACAAGAAGTCATTGCTGTTACATGTGGTCCTACTCAAGCACAAGACATTTTGAGAACTGCATTAGCTATGGGTGCTGATCGTGGAATACACGTTGAAGTATCGCCAGCAGAATACGAAACTTTGCAGCCAATTCATGTGTCTAAAATTTTTGCTAAACTTGCTAAAGATGAGAAAGCTGATTTGATTATTGTTGGAAAGCAAGCAATCGATGGTGATAACAATCAAACTGCTCAAATGATTGCTGGTAATTTAGATTGGCCAGCAGGAACATTTTGTAGTAAGGTAATTTACTTTTTGATATAAATGATAAACATCTGGAAGGATTTATGGATTTATATTAATTTAAAATATCAAGATGTTTAATTGTTATATTGAATGCAGTTTATTTTGTCAATTATTTTGTTTATCGTTAGATCGAACAGGGTAATGGTGAATTGACTATTACTCGAGAAATCGATGGGGGATTGGAAACTCTCAGGCTAAAAACTCCTGCTGTTCTTAGTGCTGATCTTCGTCTAAATGAACCACGGTATGCCACATTACCAAATATTATGAAAGCTAAAAAAAAACCGATCAAAAAAGTAAGTCCAAAGGATCTTGATGTAAACATATCGCCAAGAATTGAGGTTATATCTGTAGAAGAACCACCAGTTAGACAAGCTGGTTCTATAGTACCTGATGTTGATACTTTAATAGCTAAACTAAAGGAACGTGGACATGTTTGATATCTTCCAAATAATGTGTATTATAAAAGATTATAAATATTGTGCCTTCCATGCAATGAATTTTATTATATTTTTCTGTATATAACATATACCTTATGTACATACAATTAGAATAAATAAGATGTATATTATATATTTTCAAAAATTTTGTACCATATGGAGGCAAATCTTATTTTCTTTGTCATTTATTCTTTTTTATTATTTTAATAAAATATTATTATATATATATATATATATATACACTTATGTCTTTGGTATACAATATATTTTAAACATATTTCTTAAGATTGTATATATATACAATGGCTGATCAATTAACAAACATTTGTTCAAAAAACAATTTTCACAGTCTAAACTGTTCATTAGCTGATCATTCACTGCATACATGTGATAATTTCTGAAAAAAAAAAAAAAAAACATTAGAATAATTGTCCAATAAATAGACTTTGAATTTTTATAACAGTAATAAGTAACATAGTTATGTTGTTTTTGATTTTTTTACTAATAAAATTAGAAAATAATAAAATATAACACGATTGAAAATTTAAAGCTACCTTTGTAAAATACAACACTACGATTCTGATATAAAATAACAATTGTATTAATTTACATTAATATTGTCAACAATGAAATTATAAGTAACAGGACACAGTTGGTAAAGTTATTTACTATTGATTTTTGTCATTATTATTTACATTGAAAAATTCATGTTAAATCGTTCAGTGATTTATATTTAAAACTAGTAAAAAATAAATTATTCTTATATATATATATAAGACTTATACGATAAATTTAAATGCAGGTACAACATAAGTACATTTTAACGAAGTCTGTGTATTCTATGTATTAAAATTATTATTTCTCTTCTATAAGTGCAGTTTAAACTGCCAATACTCTATGTTAATTATTTATTAACATTCTTAATCTCTAAACAATAGAAATATGCGTCTCGTATTGTAAACTTTTAAATAGGATTGCTACGATTCATTCATTTCAATATAAACTATATTTATAAAAAATTAATTGTATCATAACAGTCTTTTATGATCGCAATCCTATTATGTTAAATTAAATGCTAGTTCATTCTTTTACAATAAAACTTTCCAATCAAATTTATTATTACTATTATGCGTGATTGGAGGGAAAGGAGGTGCCTGAAGTTGCCATCCATTGGATTCTTTGCTAGTAACTGCACATGCCAAGTATGATATTTTTTGAGCTATTTTCGTTATTTCTGACGGTGGTGGTATTTCACCGCCGGTCAATTGTTTAGTTAAAGCTGATAAAGTACTAGCATGGCCTACTATTAGAATGTTACCTTTCGTATTTTCAATAATATGTTTTATTAATTTATAACTTCTTTCATAATACTGCGTTGAAGTTTCTTTTATAGTGAGATCTTTCATTTTAATTATATGATTATAATTTGTATCCACATTATAACCTGCATTAATTAATTCTTCGGGAGTCATCCAGGTAGGTACACCAGCTGGATACCATGCTAACCATTCTGTTAAACCTGGCTCAATTTTTATGGGTAAATCTAATTCTAAACCTTTTAAAATATTATTAAGCGTTTGAATACATCTTAGAAATGGCGAGGTAAAAGCTGCATCTACTTGCATTTTAGATGATTTTATTGCATCCCCCATCAATCTTGCTTGTAATTCTCCAATTGACGTTATAGGACCGTCGTGTTTAAATTCATTTATATTTCTTGTTGGTATAACCTTTGGCATATTTAGATCTCTACGTATGTAACAACCATCTTCAAAGCAATATGGAATCCATTCACCAAACGTAAAATCTACTCTCTCTCCATGACGACATATCAAGAGTTGTCTTGCTGGAATTATAGATGACGAAGAAGATGTAGGTTCTTCTACCTGTGTAAAGAAGAAGTATAAATAATATATCATTATTCTAATTGCGAATTAGATAGTTGAAAAACTTTCATTTGATTATTGATTTTATTTTTGCTCTGACTTACTTCTTCTTCTTCTTCTTCTTCTTCCTCCACAATTTCTTCTACATTACTATTAATTTGCACAGTACAATGCAATGTCCAAGAATCTGATTCAGCTGTTCGTTTTGTGTGATTTAAAGGAAAATTTCCTGTAGCTCCGGTCAACCACGAAGTACCTTCAACCCATCCGTCGGTAGAAGAGTTGTATGATTCTTCTGTTATGTAAATATAATCTCCTACTCTTAATTCCAAGTCATCGTCTTCTCTGGAAGTGTACGCGTATATAACTTTATGTACACGAGAATTTTCTAATCTAGAATCCCGAGAGTATAATCTAATTTCCCAATTGTCTACTGTAGCGGGTTTCAATTTTTCAACCATTGTACGAAGAGGTTGAAATAAGTTGCTGGGAAACTGATAAGCCAATGTGAGATGTAACGGTTTAACTTGATGATTGGCAATGATATTATAAGTTGATAATTTAGCAACATAATTGGCAGAAATTTCGTTAAGCCATTTAGCATCCTCATCTTTAACAAAAAGTCCCATAAAATTGGGTGAAATATATGGTTCAAAATGAACCCTGTTGTAAGATTCATTGCGATCAATGATATTATTAAGAGAATATACAAATTCTGGTTCTAGTTCGTCTGATACCTGGGAATAAAACAAAACACTTGATAACATAATGCACAAAGTTTCAATCTAATAGATCAAAACAATTAATCATTCTACTTACTTGGAAAAAAGATACAAGTGTAATATGTGGCATATAGTTAAGGGCTCCATTCCAACCTAACTGTTCACTTTCAACCCAAAACTTAGAAAGATTTTCAGCTAATGCTCCAGTAGGACAAGCATACAATACATATTGTCTATGTGCAATAAAATCTAATGTTGGATCTTTGACATGAGCAAGTAACCAGTCAGATGCAAGTTGAATGCCACGGTGTCCTGTAGCAGCTAATGCCTTTTCTCTGTAATCAGATAAACGTTTATGTGTCACACACAAAAATTCAATTGTAACTGTGTACAAGGAAAATTTCACACATTTAGGTTTAATGAATAAATGAATAATTATTGAACGTGTCGCACAAATGATTAAATATAATTAAAATTTAAAAAAAAACCAATGTATAGTATCATCACTTGTAATAAAAATAAGTTAAATATATGACTGACAATAATTTGAGATAAAAGATTAAATGAATGTTAAATGTCATCAAATTTGACAGCCGTCTGTTTACAAAGACAATCAGTAAACAGATAAGAAACTGTTAAGATTTAATTTGCTCTATTTTGGAATGATAAAACAATGATCTTATCGTTAATATACTCACGCTCGATTTTTCGGAAATCCAAGTTGCAAAAGGGTTTGCAAAGGAGTCATTTGTTGTTTGAAAATCTTCTTCCTTGAGAGATTTTTTCGTGGTGGTAATGTCGCCATGATGATGTATGTATGTTACTTACTTAAGAGTTTTCACTAAACTTCAATTGAATCGTAGATAAGAAATCTTCTTGATTGAGAGAAGGAACATACCGTTGAATTTTAACTCTCAATTGTTATTTCAAATAACCCTTTTCTTCAAACAAATCAATTGAATGTTTGTCAATATAAACGTATACCACCTTAGAATTTCTTTTTGTTGCTTTAAATTAAAAAAATAATTCAACAATATCTGTTAGAATTTTATGTTTATAATGTAAGAGAATTATCTATACTACTATTTTAACGGAAATCATACTTTCATTTTTTCTTGCTTTTTTCTTTATCTTTGAACGTACATAGAAAAGAATTTATTAATAAAATCATTTCTTAGAAATATATGTGAAAATAGTTTATCGTAAAGAATAACATTTGTTAAGTTAATATGTCATTACAAATTTGTATTATATCGCTTAAAATAAGATAGATTAATAAGATAATAATATCGTCGTAAAGAAAATGATTATAACATTCATATGTTTTCGTTCTATTTCAAGGATTATTACATACTGTATACCTATTGGCCAATTCCGATGGAACCAAAATGTCTTTCGTTCTACGAATAGAATAAGATGAATTATTCGATTTCTATTCAAATCCAATGGAATATCCAATAAAATTATTCATTAAACAATAACAACATTTGTTTTCTATGAAGTACTATTATTATTATTATTATTATTTTATTATACAAAAAATTTGAATTTTATAATTATATCCACATATATTGTTGCATGAATAAAAATAAATATGAACGAAAATGAATTAGACAAAAGTTTTGGATCAATGTATTTTACAATATACAATATTTTAAAAACCTTTCTGATTTAGTAACAATGTTTTTTATACTATAAGTTAATATTAATAATAATAATAATTGTATTTTTTTTTTCTATACACTATCAAAGTAGATTTGACTAATAGTAAGTACGGATTTGTAGTCAGGTAGAGAAAATTAATTTTCAATTTTCCGTGTTTTAATTAGCATTAAAGTCTTCGCTTATGTTTCATAGTGTATAAATTATTTAATGTAAGTGACATATATAAATATATGTATACGTAGCTGAGATTATAGTATAAAAATACTATTTGTTTATAATTTTAAGAAAGAGCATAGGATATATTATAATATATTATATATAAAATATGATAATAATAATAACAGTAATAATAGTAATAATATAATAGTAATAATAATAGTAATAGTATAGTAATAATAATAGTAATAATAATAATAATAATAATAATAATAATAATAATAATAATAATAATAATAATAATAATAAATAAATTAATTAATTAATAATTACTTAAGGCACACCTCGTACACAAAATGATAATTTTTCACGAATATAATAATTCGTTTTTTCTTCGTTATCAAATACATACTTCGCAATAATTGGAACAATGGCGCGCGCATAAACACACCATCGTGCACCACCACAGCGTTAATATTGTTTATTATTTAAAGTTAGTTTTTTTCAAAAGAAACAACGATATGTGAAATTTATACATTTTACACATTCGTTAGGCAATATCTTAGCTTATTAGCATTATTTGCAACCATGATATCATCATCCCTATAATAATAATAATAAAAAAAGTTACACTGCATTCATATAGAAAATATAACTTCTTATAAAGATATTGTAACTACTAATTACATAGTACATGTTACATATACATATATATATGTGCCGGTAATTATGTTTATAATGTGTGATACAATTGAAAAGAATTTATTTTGATATTTATTTTATTATATTATAAAATAAATAATAGAATTAATTGGACCGTTTATTTAGAAACTGATATAAGTTCACTTCTTCTTGTTTCGAGAAAATTAAATTAGATTAGCCATATCAATGATTTATTCAATTTCTTTTACCGATCAATTTTTAATTGTACAAAACATGAACATTTTTTAATAGTTTACATTAAATTAAGCATAAATTACGTGATATCACATTTAAAAAAAAAAAAAAATGGACTCACACACTTTCAAAATAAACGGTCCAATTTTTTCATATTTTTTAAATTATTATACTGTCATAATTACTGGCATGTATGTAGTTATATATATATATATATATACGATACATATTTATTGCTTAAGACCGCGGAGATCTTTCAATCGATCATAAAATCGAACCTTTGAAATCGATACAAAATACGAACTAACAACAATATAAGAATAATACAAATAAACAGGAAACTAACAGGAGTATCGCGATCGATAATAGTATAATAATGATTTTTATGAAATAAAAAAATATGTAAAAATGACAAGCGTGCACAAAATTTCCGAGGAAAGATCGAATTATGATTGATTAGTTGTTGTTGTTTTTTCTTTTTTTTTGTACGATTTGTATAAAATGTATCTTCCTCTATATTTTTTTTTTTTTTTTAAATTATTGTAGAAGTTTTGTTAATCAATACTGCATTGTATGAAAAAAAGAAAAATGAAATTTATAAATTATAAAATGTTAGGACAAATATGTGAATTTTTGTGATATTTATAATTAAAAGCGCACCATCGAGTACGTGTTGTGTACGTATATGTAAACCGGAAATTGATGTATTACTATTGCTATATTTGTCTTTCTTTTAATGACTCGATTGGCACCATAGGTTCAACAAAATATTCACGTCTCGTACAATAAAATATCACTTTCCGGTCTAGACGTTCAAATAACTATTGGTTTTCCTGTTATTTCTTCCCATACTCTTCAATTTTCAATAACATATGTGCCCATAATTATGAAAATGCTCTAACATAAGTCAAAATTAATAAAACAAAATAAGTTTATCAGTTATTACGCACTACATTATTATAAATTAAATAAATTCAATGTAATTTGAATACGATATTATCAAAAATGATTAGAATGTTAGATAGTGTTTGTAACGAAGAGATATATGACTTAGACCACTTTTATAATTATGGGCACATATAATCTCCATTTTGTAAATCTAATCGTTCCATAATGACATCATCAATCATCTATATAACTTTTTAATTACAATGATTATATTTCGCAATGAAATGAATGAGTACAAAGAAATACTCTTCCTCTTGTTTGTCGTTCGTTTATATAAAATCAGGAAGGGAGGAGGCAAAAGGAATATTGGATGACATTTTTATTCATATTTCGACAATTTACATAGAAAAAAAATCATTCTATTTGTGATTTGTGAAACTGATATTTTTCATTTTAATTGCATTATGTATATATATAGGGTGTTTCGTAATAAGTGGAGTGAACAGGAGGACAGTTAAAACAATGAAACAAAGTTTACTACTTAACTCTTTGTGGCATAGAATTTCAGATAATAAAATAGCCAGCCCTATGTTGCATAGAAATTTGATTACGTTTTAAATGAAACTAAATTGGTAGATTTTTATTAATAAAGGTATAACACAATGTAATTATGTAAAAACATAAAAAAAAGAGTTAATAACAAATTGTTTTGCGTAAATAATCTAAATAAACTAAATGAACTAAAAATATCCCACCTCGACATGTATCAAATTGATATTATTGATGAATAATGTTTATAATAATTCGGAGTGCAAAGGATTAAGAATGATAATTCATTTCATTATTGAATAATCTATGTAATCGTTAAAACGATTTTTCTTTTGCAAATTAATTTTGAATAGGAAAGACAAGTAAACTTTTAATAAGGATTTTTAATTACATAATAATAATAATAATAATATAATGTTTAAAAATACGAGTAATAATGAAAAAGAAAGCGAATAATTGATAGTAATTCTTCGTAAACTCCATTTTGTCGGGTTTTTTTTAGCTGTAAAATTAGTTCGACTGGTAAAATTGAACAATTAGCAAACTTACCCGTCGAATTCTTCGATTTAATACTATTCACATTAATTCGTGAAAAATTAATTTCTCGCGTAAATTGCAAAATTTTATTTTTAAAAAAATCTGTGAAATCCCGGTTTTTTTTATTTCTTTTTTCCTTTTTTTTTCTTTTTTCCTTTTTTTAAATAAAACATACACGTTCGTCGATTTATCATTTTATATTACAAAAGTTTATAAATAAAACGATGCTTCTTTACCGTTCCTTTTTCCTATCGTGTTCTATTTTTTTTTCTTTTTGGTGCTATCAAAAATGCAACATTATTTTAAATTTAATCATCGAAATATTCACATAATAATAAAGTTATTGCACGTTACTAGGCTAAATATAGCCATTTTGACTAGTATTTCGTATCGAATGGCATACACACATACAAGAATTTCTTTAATTCATTTATTTATTTGTTTAAATAATCAAATAAATCTATTGCTAGACGCTTCTAATGACGAGAATTTGTTTAATCTATTAAACGGAGGAGTAAAATTAATCGTAAGCATATTTCGTATGCAATTTTGCAAATGCAAATTAATAGAAGTTACAATTCAAGCTTTATGCTTTAATTAAACAATGAATATCTTAAAATATCAATTTTTTTTTTATAAATAACAAAGATACTTCAAGTAGAAAAGAAAAAAATGAATTATTTTCAAGATTTTTTTAAAAGTAGGTATAATTGATAATTTATAGTCCCCCACTTAATAGATTAACATGCATACATAAAATGTATATTAATAGGTACATACAAATGTAAAATGAAATTACAATAAAAATAATATCCGTAAATGGCTATGCAAAGTATTTTGAATAATAAGAAAAGAAGTTAAAATTCGTGTTGATTTAGGTACATTAAAAAAAAAAAAAAAACAAAATGCTCAAATCTTCTATTATTTTAAACAAACAAAAAATAATTACATTTTATTTATTTAAATCGGTCATTTTAAAAAGTTACTGCGCCTCTCATGTCTTTATTATTTTACATGCAATTATTCAAGTATACTAAATCACGATTAAGTTGTTCAAGAATCGACAATGATTACCAATTTCGATAAATGAACAATACGAAAATGGATTAATTGTAAGTTTTGTTCCATTTTTTGGGGAAAGTTTGTCTGAAATGAATTTTTGATGAAGAAAACTCAAGTTGTAAATCTCGTTTAAATTGAAAAATTGTAATTCTTGTGTTATTTTTGACGATATATTATATATATCATCGATGAATTGAAAGAGTCACATGCCTTTGATGGGTCGCATCTCAAGCAGTTATGTTAGTATGTAAGAAGTATGCGACTTTCGCGTGTTCCTCGTCGTTGTCGTCGTCGTCGTCGTCGTCGTCGTCGTCGTCGTCGTTGATAGTGTCATGGACGACCTACTTGTGATAATTCATCCAAGAACTCAAATTAAAAGTTACATAAATAATCTAATGTAAGAATGATCTTTGTTCGATACATTTTTCAGATAAAAGAAAATCTATCCTATGTATGACGGGAAATAGAAAGAAAGAGAGAAAGAAAGAGAGGGGGGGGGAGAGAAAAACTCACTTATCACGTTTAGTCCTATTTTTGAGTTATGATGAAAAACTCGAAGAAATGAGAAAAGTAATCGGATCTGTCGTTTCAAATTTCTTCGGTTTTTCGTTTTCTCCTTAACTGATTCGTAGCGCCATTTTGGTGGTGCTTTGAAATTCTCGTCGATAAATCGTTGCTTTCATTTTCCTTCGAGTCTTCTTCCTCTTGTTCCTCTTTTATTTTTATTTTTTTTTCATTTTCCTTTGATCCTACCTCCTTTATTTCGATTTCATGAATTTTCTTTTCCTTTAGTCTCGGAGATCCTTTCAAAAAATATTCCGACATTTTGCGACGATACAGGGAGATTCGAAAATGCGAATTACCTTTAACAACGTTTGCCCTGTGTCACTCTCTGTCTTTGCTAAGATCGGAAGGCAAATCTGAAGACACTGAAGCCGAGATTGGTGATTTTGGTGATGGAGACGACAAATTCGTTCTCGAAGATACCGGCAATGAAAGACCAGCAGCGCTCATTGCCACGTTCAGTGGTATCGTGATGAACGGTTGATTTCCTTGCGACGAGTTCACCGATGTTGTGCTTCCTGAAGATAAACAATGAGAGATATCGTTCTTATCCTAAATTAATACACACACGCATTGCATTTTTTTTTCTTAACGTTTGAAAATCAAATATATTACACGTCAACTTCAAACACGATTCTAACTGCACGATTTTTGGATCAAAAAGTTGTTGTAAATTTTACACGGGAAGCCAATTTTTTTTTCGTTCCAACTCACTTTTATTTAACAAAAATAAGTCAATATTTTTCCTATTGTTGTTCAAAATTTGTCAAGCTACACTCGTATTTGTTCGAATCAACGTTAGAATTATAAACTCAACTTGGTTTCTTTCCGTTTTATTTTATTTTTTTTTTACTCTTTTTAGCATTTGAAGAATGTGATAGTAATGCGATAAATTAAGAGCTCAACCTAGTGTTCTTTTTTTATTTTTTTTTTTTATTGTAAAAATCTTGAAGAATGAAAGAGTACTTATGAACATGAATAAAATATTCTTCAATAGATAGAATTCTTTTTACGAAAAATTTATTATCATTTTGTTTCAATCGATTCGTAATATTTCTTTGTTATTGTTCTGAAGAGGGCTAAGAAAAATAATTCAATTTAAACACACACAGCTGAGAGACAGATAAAACCTACCTCCGTCTTGTGAAATTTGCACGGGTTGACCGTTTTGTCCAATACCGAGCAAAACACCCGGACTGGGCGAATAAATGACACTTTGTGGCATCTGGTATATGATTCCGGTAGAGAAGGAAGGCATATTACCTGAAATAAAATAAATACATACAGTTTTACGATTTTACACGCGATTATGTATAAGGGTGGGTTGAGAAGTGTTGAATCTCATCAACCAAAAAAAAAAACAAACAGACTTTGACTTATTTTAAAATAAATATTGTTTCCTAATAAGGTTCAGAACTTTTGAACCAATTCACGTAAAAAAGAGACATTTGGGAAATAATTTCAAGATATTTCATATACGAATTCACCAAACTTTTGATCAGTAGTATAGATGAAAGAATATTTAGGTAAACATTTAATCGTATTTGGAAAAATGTACAATATATAAAAAAAAAAAACCAGAAAATATTCTTCGTGTGAAAGTACTTTAACCTAATATCAAAATTCAGAGGAATAAGATTCTACTCCTCTCAGGTCAATCAATCTTACCTAATAAGGATTTGTAATAACCTTAGAAGGAAATTAGCGAGTTAGTTAGTTAGTTGGTTGCGTCATCATTCTCACATTATATATCGTGGTTTTAGAAAATTGATCTTCAACATACATATAAGTAAAGAATAATTTGATTTAACAAAATTTCTATTTTTCACGTAAAAGGGCTAACGTCAATTTTATTGTAATCCCTTTATGGCGTTCTCTCGAAACAATGCGACTCTTTGGCCTCCCTCGCTTTCTCGATTAGCCGTAAAAGGGGGACGAATGTTCCTTACGACCAATGAGAGATTTCATCATCACCCACTATCTCTTATCACGCGGTGCGTAATGGAAACTAAGAAAAAAACATGGAAGAACGAATGAACGAAAGAACGTAGGTTTATACGCGATTAATGGCATTCACTTGGCTGCATTAGCATCGGATATTTATGTGTGCACCTGCAACAGAGCGTGGCAATCGTACACACACACACACACATACACGCATACATGCATAATTATTTACATACATACACATAAGTTGGCAATTTTAATTGCATGCGCGTTCTATCTCTCCTACCATTGACATAGAACTTTTCATAAAAATGAGAAAGCAGTATTATAGCTGCTCTTTCAGAAGGTTAATCTTTAAAACATTTTCACACGATTCTCCATGACAACATATCTATCGGAATGATTTAGATACTACTCAGATACTTTGTAAACTCCTTCCTACTTATTTCTCTTATTTTTACATTTTTGTAAATGATTTTCTACTTTCAATAATAATGAACGATAAAATAAATATCTATCGATAGATAATTTATTACGTACAATAATATTCTTAGACAAGTTTATGTATGAAAGTAAAGAAATACAAAATAAAGTTTAAATATTGAACTTTCAAACTCGAATGTGAGTAAAACAATTATTATCATACGCAATAATAAATTCTTTTAATTATTTATTAACATATTTACTTATATAGCGTAAAGAATTGTTTCTTCAAATTCTACCCTCATCTTCAATCCTCTTATTCTTCTCGTCTAATCTAAATTTTGATTCTCTTTTTAAACTTGGAAAGCTGTAGTTATCAATTTTCCAAATCAATTAGATATTTCGGTAGATAAAAAATGTACTAAAAGTATTTAATTCATTGATACCTTTCTCACCATTTTCTTTCAACCCTAAATGTGAATAATCTAACGAAAATAAAAAGAAATGTGGGCAAAGGAGAAAGAAAGAGAGCAGTTATGTTGGCGGTGCCATTAAAACGGTAATTTCTCTTTCGAATTGATGTCGATCAGGAGACAAAACGTGGTATCGTCGGGTAGTTTCGCGTAGTTTCGTAAATCTTTTCTCGGTCGTTGGACCACCGGAGTGGAAAGGCCGTCTCAAAGGCCGTCTCAAAGGCCGTTTCAAAGGCCGTTTCAAAGGCCGTTTCAAAGGCCGTCCTTAAAGACGGTGATCAGACTCCTTTGATCGACTACTCTCTTCCTCGATAATAATCCTCCTCCCGAAAATTCCTTCTTTTGGTACTCGAGCAAAATGCTTACACATATACATATAGAAAGGCAAATAATTAAATAAGCGGATAGCTAAACGCATACACACCTAAATACAATACATTGATAGATGCAACGTATCAAGGTTTAACGCGCGAGCGTAAATGTTGGAAAAAGCGCGAAACGTCACAGCGGCGATCGGATGGCCATCCACTCGGTGTACATTAGCATCGATATTTATGTGTACACCTGCATCGAAGCGCGGCTTTCGACCGGATCCTACTTCCCAGTTAGGCAGCGCGTTATCGTCTTAGTTTGGTCATCGCGGACCGTACGACTCCTTACGGACTCCCCTACACGGATAACCCCGTCATCGCTCGCACGCTTTTCGCATTTTAAGTGTCCTCTCTCTTTTCCCCTCTCTTTTGTATCTTTCTCTCCCACTCTCTCACTCTCCCGCTTCTCCACCTCATCCCCCGTTCCTTTCCCTTCTTTTCTCTTTTCTTAACATATCCTCTCTGTCCATCTGTCTGTCTGTCTGTCTGTCTGTCTCTCTATGCCTGTCTCTGTCCTTTTCTCTCTCTCTCTCTCTCTCTCTCTCTCTTTCTGTTTATTTTTCTTTCTTTGTCTTTATCTAGGAGGCCTGTGTGAGTGACTACTGCTAACCTGTCTACTACCTGATGTTCGTTCGTTCTAACAATTTTCCACGGTAGTCTCTTAGGAGCCTTCTTACGATCTCTCAACTCGAGAGATTCGAGACACGCCCACGAGGAAAAAAAATCGGTGTTACCCAATCAGGTGATAATCCTGGCACTTAGGCAGCCCTTCGCTTCGATCCTTTCTCCCTCCATTTCCGAATCATCATCGGCCATCGCTGGCTTTCTAAAACACTTTAGAATTTACGATCGAGATCGTTTCGATATCGAATCCTGTGCGATCAACTTTAACTTCAGTCTTTGTATGTGTAAGGCATATACGATGTTTCATAATGGATCTTGGTACTCGATTTTATTGAAAAGGTCATATTTATGGAGCTTTGCTTAATTTTTTTTATTTTGTTTTTTAAAACTAGGACTTGGTGAGATCATGTTGAGATGAGTTGCATATAGTAAATTGTATTAAACAATTTTTGTACATAGAAATTATTTATTTCTGATGACTTAACTTGACATTTAATTATACATCTAATTTATAAGTTTCTTTTTCATATATTCACATACATTATGAAACTTACTATAACCGTTCAGAATTTAGCCGTTCGTTTTGATTGCGCGTTATAGCTTCTTCATTCGGAGTGGTAAAAGTAAATCGTTAGAGAAACAAAAACGTTTAGACGTGAAATATCCTGAAATTCTCATCGTTTTTAACATTTATCGACATTAGAGCGATACTTAAATGCTGTGCTCTTAATTTGTTGAATTCGAAGATGTACGCGATTGTATTACAGAAAGATTTGTTTCTATTGATTTTGTCCAAAAGTTTTGCAAAAGAATCTTTTTTTTTTTTATAGCATGAATCAACACCACATTTTATCTTTTGTATATAAAAAAATATTTGAATTATTTATTACAAACGATCAATTGTATAGATCAAATTAATATTGTAATAATATGTATAAACGGCGAAAAATGATCAAATAAATTTGACATCTTGATGTATTAAACTTTACTGCTCGTTTAAAAATATTTCAAATTTGATCAATTCAATTTTGATTACTGATAAAAATGATTAAAAAGAATCTTGAATGTTTGTAATCGTTAAAAAATACAAAAATCTTTGTAATTGTGATATTTGATTCATAGGAAGATTCATCGATGATCCTTGTAATAGTGTAAAACAAGCGTAACATGATTTTATTTGGCTCGTTGATTTAACAGGCGCGATAACGTCGTGTAATTACTGGTATCGCGCGTCCGCATTTAAGCGGCCTACCGCAGTGGAACGTAATTCATAACGCAATTAATATCATTTTCATTACATCGCTAGGGACTGTTTTTAAGTGTCACGACATATTAGGCATAGTTCCCTTGTCGAGATATATGCATGCAAGTAATCACACATACAGGTTGTCCCAAATTACGAGGATTTCATTAACATTTACAAAAGAAAAGAACAAATTCAATGCAAGATTTATCAAGAAAACGTTTTTTTTTTACAAAATTATGCACAAATTTTGTATAATAATAAATAAATATCAACTTTGACTCAACCTTAATGCAACTGTTACATCTCTCCATTTTTATTTATGCGAGAGTTCGCAAGGAATAACCAATTTTATGCAACAGAAATTATTTTACACTTTTGAAGGAAATACTGTAAAGAATTAAAAATGCAATCATTGAAATTCGCAATTATTAACTCGTTGTTATTAAAAAATCATAGTTATTTGTGTTAGTATTTGTAAATAGTGTTGTTTTTCGCTTATAGGGTAAAGTCTTACAATTTGAGAAGGAAATGGAGGGTGCTATTGGTAATGAAAGTCTAATGATTTAAAAAAATTGCTGATATTTTTATTCTTCTTTTATGATGCAAATGAATTGTCCTTATGTTGTTTGGTTGTTTAATTTTGGAACACCTTGTATAAATTTATATATTCTCTCTTTCGTTTATAATGAAACGCGTGTAAGTAGTGTTATCTGAATTTACGAGGTTCGCACGAGACACGAGCTTTCGTATGAGAAAAGAAAAGATACAATGGAGGATAAAAAATATTGTGAGAAAGAGAAAGAGAGAGAGAGAGAGAGAGAGAAAAATATTGAATCAAATAAACAATTTCTTCGTATTTTTCTGATAAATAGATTCAGGATTTAATAATTTTAATTGAATTTACCCAAAACTTGCATGTGTTTATAAGCTGACACATCACAGATTAATTAACAAAAAAAGTTGCGATAATCATTGGGTTCATTGGGTAAAAAATTATTGTATTTTAAAAATTAGTGATCAATAAAGAAACAATTTTTTCGATTTATTTCGATTCAATGTATTTCAATATTTTGTGCTACTAGGGATGATTATTTGATTCCATATCAAATATGAACACAATTTGTTTTTCTTTTGCACATTAAATCTTATATAAAATAAAAAAATAAAACACATTTTTTTTTTTTGTAAAATGAAGTACAAAGTATAGTTTCTCTCGTTGATCTAATAATCGTACGTTTTCATCGTGATATAAACTAATTCGAAATTAGAATTAGTCGATGATCACGCTAACATTCTTCAATATCATTTTTAGTATATCCGCATTTAATTGTTGAGAATACACATTTTTCTTATCGCAACCACAAATTCCTTCTGTTTTTTTTTTTTTTTTTTTTTTTTAATTTAATAATGAAGTAAATTACTTAACCCTATTAAGTATATCTTTTTATTATTATAATACGTCAAAAATGGACGTAAAGAAAGTTTACTTCGAGGAATAATTAAACAATTCCTGTTAAACTTCAATTGAGGAAATGTTCAGAATCAGAATAGAATCATTTATTGTATTTTCCGAAGCGGAAACTGTTTTTATTATTTGAGTAAAAACTTAATAGACGGAAAAAAAAAGTTTTCAAAAAGAATGACGTTACACTTAACTTCGAATAATAAAGTACATACTTGAAGAAATAGTTCTATTCTTTTTAATATGACGGTGAAAATTTACTTGTAACATAATTCATTTTAATTATTCATCATTTTGATATTTAACACGTTACGTGCCACGTGTATCACTGATGGTACACGTTAAACTTGTTCTTCAGGCTACGTGTACCACAAATATAATTCTGTTAAAGAATATTTTTATTCAAATATTGATGCATTATACAAAATGCAGTATAGAGAGAGAGAGAGAGAGAGAGAGAGAGAGAGAGAGAGAGAGAGAGAGAGAAGGAGCATTCGCTCGAATGAGACCGCTAAAGAAATTTCTACCAACTTCGCTTAGGAGAATTATAGTAGATACTCTTGGTCCTTGAAATGGCATCGATCCATTAGCGATTATTTCATTAATATCTATCAGCGGTATGTCTTTTAAAACGACACACCCGAGATATTCGTGACTACTATACTATATACTGGCGTGTATTCGCAAAAACTCGAGATTGGAATTTTGATTTTGTTCTGTCTCTATCCATCGTCAAACGAAAGGTACTGAAATTTAGCAACTTTGATAAAATGGATTAAATGGATCAAATGATTCAAATAAATAAAATGGATCAAATTGAATAGGATTGAAAAAGATAGAACCAATGGTAACGTATCAAATTGAGAACGTGGGAAGGTAATTTTCCAAGAGTCTACGTACATAATACTATTACTTATAAATTCAAATAAATATATATATATATAAGTGTACGATCTTGAGAAAATCGTATCGATCAAAATTGAAACAGATCTATTCTTCTATGCGTTTCCTTAGAAATTCAATTTAATGTTTCGTGTATATTTTTTTTCATTTCGTTGATACAAATATCTGGATAATGGAAAATTTGGACAGTGAATCATGTGGATGGTAAAATGTTCAAATACTATATCGTTGAATACTAAAAGTTTCTTTGTACTTGGATACAAAAACAAAATAAAATGTCTAAAATATTGTAGATGTGATATAATAAACAGTACTAGTTCTTAGGAAAATTTATTAATTGCAATGTGAATTCTGATGATAATAGCTGAATCTGATAAAATACGTGGCAAAATAAAGGAAATTAAACACAATGAAATATGCATCCAAATTATTGTGGATGGTGGTACATATAGAAAATTATAATTAATCATATGAATGTATAATTGTGTGTACCTGAATGATTTTTTGCGAGATCTTTAGAAACCGGTGAATCGCCGTCGCTTGTATCACCGTCGCTCTCGTTTGCGCAAACATCCGATCTGGGTGACGTTCCATCTTCCTGTACAAACATTCAATCATTTCAAATGTTATTATAATAAACAAAAATAAAATTCAATTTGATAATTTGAACAGTACAACTAAGAAGACCAGTTTTTTACTTTACAGTAAAATATTGCATTCATTGTTATTTATTTTACTTTAATTTACTATTATTATTATTATAAATATTGATATATATTATTATCTAAAGATTGTATATTTTTTATTTCTTATTTAAATTCATAAGAAATTGACGACGTTTAAAATAGTTATGTTTAAAAATTATTTTTAAATTGTTAGTATAGGTTTAGTTTTAAATTACAAAATAAATTATAGCCATAATCCTAATCATTATAAGTATATATATATATATATATATATTATTATTGTAGCAAAATAATTCAAACTTTTCCTTAGTTCAAAAACATAAAAGAAGACAATAGCAATAGATAAAAATAAAACAAAAAATGTTTAATTATTTTAAGAATTGCTAAGTTTCTGCATATTATTTGGTTTTATTTTGAATCGTTGAAAAATTGTTTAAAACTTAACAAATTTCTCTCTATTTCTTAATATTTAAACATCAGTAAGAGTCGTAAATAGAAACGAATCTTAGAAACTATGTTTCGATCGGTAACAATAGCTCGTTGAAGCTGCGTGTAAAATGTGAAGTACCTGTACATATATATATATATAAATAAAAAAAAAACTTATGAGAATTCAACAGTCTGTGCCAATCTTACATAGACAATAAACTTTAAAAGACAAAGGAATCGTAGAATGTAAATGAATTTCAAGAGTTTAACTAGTAAAAGATATTGTCAGTAGTTGTTTGTTCGGGAGACGTTAATGAAAGAAAAGAAAGGTCGCTAAGATTATTGCACTTTCAAATCAATATTTCTTAAAACTTTGTTGCGACTAAAATTAAGATTAAAATCATTCAAATATGATTTTTGTTTATACTTTTGTTTCAATATTGTTTGAAAAGATAACGAAAATCAGCTGTAACTCTTTCTTATTTGATATTATTCAATACATTTGTGTATTATTTATGGACAAGTGATTTGGATCGTTTCTAAGATAGTTGTGTATCGATATGATATCGATACGAGAAGTAAGAAGTGGAAATAAAGGATAAATGAAATATGAGATTTTCGAATAAAATTCTCTAACGTCCACGCAAAACGGTTTATACAACCATTGACCTACGTCCGACAATACACCTACAAATTTCTGCATCCTAGTATCTCGCATATAAATATAAATATATACATATAATATATATATATATGTGTGTATGAATGTGTATGTATACACCTAGAACCACCCACACGCGACTCGTCCAAACGAATTCCTTCTCTCTCTCTCTCTCTCTTACAATCCGAACGCGTAGAACAAAATACTTTCACTCATCGGAACCTTCGACGTCCACCGACGTTTTAGCTTCTTCCCTTGTAATATAAGCGCACGTAAGTCCGTCTAGTAAGAAAATTCTATGATTTATTTACGTTATTTTCATATAAACGAACTAACAAATGTAAACGATAGATCAATAATAATCTAAAGCTAGATATTTTAAATATAAAAGCACTCAATCCATCAACCTTTCAATTTTGTCTTCTTCTAAAGTGAAGGATTTTGCGCGGAAGATATCCTATGTTTCTCTCTCTCTCTCTCTCTCTCTCTCATCCTTATTCTTATTCTAACAACCGAAAAGTAAAGGAAGAAAAAGAAGAAACAGGAAGACGAAAATGAAGAAGAAGGAAGCGAATGAACGAAGTGAATACGTTGAGTAGTAGTAACGCATACGTATTTGTGTGCGTACGTACGTACGTAAGGAAGTAAGTTAACAGAGGAAGAAGAAGAAGACGAAGAAGACGAAGGAAGAAACGAAGGAAGAAACGAAGGAACGAACGAACGAACGAACCAACCAACGAAGCAAGGAACAAACCAAGCAAGCAGCAAGCAACCAACCAAGCTCTACCTAGCGGGGAGAGATGCGCGAGCTTGTTCGCGCTCCTTATATGGCCATCCAAGCAGTCTGAACTCGGCAATGCGCTTCCAGAAGAGATTCTCACAAATTTACGCGGTACTACGTTTCCATCGCTACTTTCTACTCTCCCCCGCGCTAGAAGATACCTTTTTGCCGTTTACTACTACCGAGAGGATACATACTCGAAATAGGGGGGAAGAAGAAGAAGAAACGGCGACCTATGCGTTTTAAACGCCCGCTCTCGCTTACACCAATACATCCACACCTATTACATACATGCATTGCATATACCTATTATATATACGTATCTCCTGTATAGAGAAAAAATAGATGCAACCATTCCCTCTTCTTCCTCCTTCTCCTCCTCCTCCTCCTCTTCCTCCTTCTTATTTTCTTCCTCCTGTTGTTGCTCCTTCTTCTCCTCCTCCTCCCTCCTACACCCCGTTCGAGTAACCCGTGCGAGAATTCACGATGAGTATACTTCAAATCGAATCCCTCTCCTCTCGAGGTTATACTACTCCGTCTTTGGAGTCACTACTTCTTCTTCTTCTTCTTCTTCTTAGTCTTCGTCTTCATTTTTTCTTTCTTTTTATTCTTACTCGTCGACTTCGTCTTTCTCGACTTTGACGAGCTTCAAGATAGATAGATAGAGAGAAAGAGAGAGAGAGAGAGAGAGAGAGAGAGAGAGAGAGAAGTTGACTTGTTGTGGTTCGAGGCTTGATAACTCGCGGTCGATTCGCTCGATGGTACGCGTTGCTCGTAATGAGCGGAAAGGATGATCGTGGGTGATCTCGAGGAGAGTGAGAGTTAAGAGAGGGAAGGATGATTTTGTGGAATACTCCATTTTATGATTGTTGTCTTCTTTACGTAGATGGATATATCTACAAAAAACTTTTTAACGTTGTTTGTCGTAGGTATTTTTTTTTAATTGTTTGATATCAAACATCGTTTGACTTTTCTGTTTTTTTTTTCTTTTCTTTGGGGATGAGAGATAAATGAAAAATTGAATATAATATTAGGCAATAAGTGCAGATAAAAAAAGATTTAAAGTGACAAGGTACGACTAACTCGACCGGATTCCACTAGGCTTTCTGGCTTCGTTCGAGTTATTATTCCGGTGGGTCTTCTGAACGTTCGCCGAGTCCCGTTCCGCGGAATTTAGTGAACCAGTGCGACCGCCAATATCGGACCACTTCCTTAATGCGTTACGAACTTGTCGCTGACGTTACTCCACGTATCCCACATTTCCGTGGGACGATTTTTTTCATAGTCCGGTTGACCAATGAAATGTATAACTGGAATACGTTGCATATTTAACTATAAACAAGACCAACATTTCTTTTTAATATCGTTCTCCTTCTTTTTCTTTTTTGTAATTTAACTTTTGAACATTTTTAGACTAATTGTAAGTTAAAAAAAAGTCAAACACATTGATCAAAAGATCATTAACCAACATCGTATACCTTGTCTCTATCCTTCGGGAATAGTTTTTATTACAAAATGAAACGAGACCGATGCTTAGAAACAATCTCTTATATTTTCCACTTAAAATTAACTCAGATCTTCTTGAAAAAAGGAGATCATCCTATTGATAGCTAATCGAAGAATGAAACTAATTCGAAATTCATAAATTCTCCAAATTTAATGAATACGCAGTGCTGAAAAGATTTGGAATTTTTGGTACGTAAAATTATGCGCATGGAACGTTAACTAACAAAAGGAATATTTTCTTTACAGAAATAAAGAGAGAGAGAGAGAGAGAATTGTCAGGTTTACCGAAAAAGTTACGCAAGTTGATTTCTCACTTAAAATACATGCATACATACATACAAACAAGAGAACGATACCTACGAGCGTGTGCCTACGCCGCAACCACAAAACACGAGCTGCGATTATATTCCTTGCGAGTTTGTTCGTAATAGGCAACAGCGTCGTTCCGCTTCAACATCATCGTATATCATTCTTCTTCGTCTATTTTACCGTATTCTTTCTCTCTCTCTCTCTCTCTCTCTCTCTCTCTCTCTGTAGATCCTTTTTTTCCTTTACCTACTCGTTCTATTTTTCCACCCCTTCCACTACTACTTTTTTTTTTACTACATGTAATTCTTTTTCTTTCCACGCACGTTGGTATTATATCCTTATGAGGAAGAATTTTAGGAAACAGTGAATTATCGACGCAACAATCAACATTTTTTTCTAATTAAAATTTATAATTATAAAAGTATAAAAAAAATAGTTTCAACCGTTCAAGGCCTTTAACGCGTATTATGTTGAAATTTAGGTTCAATATGATAGAAAATTGACTTCAACTCTTGTGAAATGTTGATAAAGATAAATATTCAATTTTTCATCAATTTTTGTTAACCACGTAAGATATTTATACAAATAAATAGTATTTTATTTTATTTATTTATCATAAATGAAATTACAAAAAAAAACAAAAAAATACCTCTTTATTAATAGCATTAAAAATTGGGCTTTTGTTTTACAGTTTAACGGAAAAAATAAGAAGCATAAACATAACATAAAGTTTCGACTTCTCAATCCTTGTACAATTTAAGATTTACGTTAAGCCATTATTAGACGATTTTCATTTTTATCTTTTATCGTCAAGTGGTTAGTAGTGGAACGTATCTAACGTACTATTAACACCTACATCTATCTATTCGCATAGATTCGCCGATTATTCGAGTCTATCGTTATTCTACCTTATTCATGGTATAATCTTAAATAAATGTGCATGTATTGTAAGCAAAAGTTATGAGAAATTTATTGCGTTATAAAGATAGATAACAATAGACTAAATAGTCACGTTTGGAAAGAATGAAAATGTTCAATAATATTGAAACAATAAATATTTCAAATGAATAATTAATCGAACTTTGTACAAACGAAATAGAGAATGAATTTTTAACATTTCTTTTTCAAAACATTGAATACAAAATTTCATTGCAGTAATTGAAAGAAAAAGTAAAATTAGATTATCGTGATATTTAGATTGAACACAAATTCTTATTACACTGATT